ATGGGGTGCTACTTTGCTTTTGCAAAAATCCTGCAGATTTCCAAAACCTAATAAAATCAGGGACCCATAAAACAGCCTCCTTCTGAATGTTAACACAAATGTATTTTAGCTTTAGGGAAATCAGAAGTGATAAAAACTGGTTTTAGTTGCAGTGAGTGTTCTCTGAGGCCTTTCTCAAGGGGGGTTCAGCCATCCTCTCTGTACTGAGCTTCTGTGATTCCATGTGCAGTTGAGGCACACTGTGGTTTTTCTCTCCCATGTGATCTTCTGTTCACAGAGGCCGTGGATGTTAAAGAGAAATAAGGTGTCAGCTGGATCCCTTTGTACACTTTGTGCACTTTATATCTGTGTGTAAAGGAGAGGTGACCTGTGTGGTCACCTCTCAGCAACTTGAGGTGCATCAAGGGGAATGACTCATGCTCTTCTCTGTCTTTTGTACCTGTTATGTGAAGCTGATCCACTGTAGACTCCAACTGCTGCTACCAAAACTACTTTTTGGTGCTCACTGCAGAGAGCTGTCACTGCAAAATGTTGAACAAAATGGTTCAGATCATTGGCACTGTTTAGTCCAGGGGGAAAAAAGAGAAAGGGAAAGACAAAAAATGAGAAGTAATTTGATGCAGTTTAGCCAACATGTAGGTACCCCTCCTGGAATTTAACATTCAGGTATGACAGTATAAGAAATAAATAGTATTCAAAATGAAAACTGCTTCTTATTACCAAGTAGGTCACATTTCTAACAACTGTTTCTCAATATGGAAATATAAGCAGTGATTGCTTTGAAAAATATATAATTATATATTCAACAAAATGCATATTTTTTCCCAATGCACCACAGTTAATTTTATCTGAAAATTAGTGATTACCATTTTGGTGTTAATTATGGAGTACTAAATACATCTTCAGTGTTAAAAGATAGACTCATCTCTATTTCATACATCCCTTGTGGAACTCATTGTGGAATTAACAGTGTTGCTTTGCGAGTTTAGAGGCACATAAAAATTAGGAGATATCATTGGAAACAAAGGATTAATATATTGATTAGGATCTCTGTTTTTACTTAGCCCTACATAAGCACAGAATTTTTCAATTATGTGCAAGGATATTCTGTGAGTGTCCCTGAGAGATCCAGGTCTGGGCGGGCACCATGTATCATGGTATAAGCTGTTTTTATTCTGGATACACACAATTGCTTCTGTGCCATTCTCTGTCTGCATGCCACATATATAACCCACACCTGGTAGGGAACCATGTAGGAAATGAAATGTGGTCTGAGAGAGCATGAGTGGTTTCAGTAAAGCATTATATGGAGCAGAAAGCTTGAGAGTGAATGAGTGCACCAACAATCTGAAAACAGATGAGTGTTATACAGAATAAACCACAAGTGGATACAACCTTTCCTTTCATGTGCAGCCCGTCTCATTTCATCCTCCTGAATGGATCTGTGAAATGTAGAAATGCTGACAACCCTTTCTCCTAGTGAGAGTGAGGAAAGTCTTATCTCCTGCTATGTGAATCATGATACAATAATCCTATGAAGGCATTCTTCCACATACCTCATTCTAAAACATTTGGGCTGAAAAATTCACTTGAGATTGATCAGAGATGATGAGTTCAGTCTAGAAGTCTTGGATATAAACACTTACTGAAGTGCTTTGCTGAGTTCCTATTGTGAGGTATGATCATGTGGGCTGGAGAGGCCAGCCTAGGGTCTTTAGGGGGAGCTGACTCAAATGTATGGATTATCCAACATTTTCATTAGTACCACTGGGGAGATTTGAATGTGGAATAATTTGCAAATGAAGAAACGAGAGGGGGGCAAAATACACACCCAAGGAACATTAGTATTCAACTTCAGAGCAACCTCTGTGTGAGCATATATGCAGTCATTGCAATATTCTGAAAATAATTGCATACATATGTATGTTAGCTCCACCCTCCAGTGGCATCAATAGGTTTAACCTCAGTTTTCTATTGCACTGCAAATTAAGGGAAAAGACTTTATTTTGAGAGTGTTGAACACATGGCTGCCATCCAACAACTTCAGCATGGCAACTTCCCAAGAAAACGCTCCAAGGCAGCCTAATCAGGACAGAATTCCTGGCAAAGTACGTTTTGAGACAAGGCTCTCTCTCTCTTTCCAAAGTAGAAAATTCCTTTGATGGCAGGCACAGAGAGCATTTAAGAACATTCTCAGGTGCCTTTTTTGCAAACTGAAAAATCAAACTCAAAAAACTGGAGAGGAAAATTGCAGGAGTCATTTTAACACCTTTCTTGCTTTTGTTGGGCAGTGGAGACTGAGAAACAGCCAGCTGATTTCACTTTAGTTTTCATTTTTTACTTCTGCCAATAGGTACAAGCTCGTAACTGATTACAGAAGGTTTTAACGCTGCTCTGTAAAAGTGAATGGTGCCTTAAACTGTATCACAAAGCTGAGTTAAATTCTCTCCTAAAGGGCCACTCAGCTTTAGTTTTTTTACCAACACACATTCCAAAATGCTGGTTTGGGTTTTGTGTTGGGATTTTCCCTCCCCACACACAGTATCTTTTATTGCTTCTGTACTGCTCTTCCTGCTTTGCACAGTGCAGTTCTGGCAAGTGGCTTTACCCAGAGCTGTGGTTTGTGGCAAAAATGTGATGTGTTGGAGGAAAGATGGGAAAGACTCCATTAGCCAGCAATAATGTAACATCCCTGCTGTGCCCACAGTGCCAACAGGCTGCAGAGGATGGGTGTCCTGGCTGGGGGAGATACAGGAGCTGGCACAGCCCTGCAGGTTTTTCACTGGGAGGTAACAGAAGCAGCTCTAAACACAACATCCTCCATTGGCTCTGTGAGATGTGGTTTTGGGAGGAAGGTGTGGCTTCAGATCTGCTGACATCATGGAAATGCTTCTGACCTCCTTCTGACTTCACAGGAAGCCAAACACATTAGACCTGCCAGAAATGTGACACTCAGGAATAAAAAAGCTCAAGCCACTCTGGTCAGATGAGCGAGAGCGTCCCAGAAAGCCCAACCTGATAAATGAAACAGAGGAACTTGAAAAATAACAAGATGACATTTTGATATTAAATGTTGAGTTTGGAAGATTAATGTAACTTCTCATTCCCTAAACTAATAAACCTAGTGGTTTTTTCTTAAAAAAAAATCCAAACACCTATTCTAAACAAGAGAATTCTCCTCCTAATTTTTTGCAGATGCACAAATACATGATTAAAACATAAAAGCAGAACACATTGGTCACCTATAGGTATCCATTCTTCAATTAGGAGAGATAAAAAAGTAAATGAAAGTGTCAAGTATCTTACATTGATAATAATTTTATCCTTTATTTATAGCATACATAAGATAGATAGGAGTGCCTGTGTTTTTAAAATAAAGAACACTTTTTAAAAACTCTTGTTATTTGATTCTTGTTCTCCTGGATATCATGTTCAGCAAATAGAAAAATAATATTCCAAGTGAGGAATGTAATAAAACTTTTTATTAACGCTATATTAAACACATTATACTGTCATAGGTGAATCTGGATTCTTACTTTTTGTACTTCTTTTAATAAAGTTCAGGCTGAACACGAGTGTTTTGTAACTGCCAGATAGCCTAGAACATTAATTCTGCCATCCAATATTCCAAGGAAATAGCTTCTTTGTGTTAAAAGATGAAAGGGCCACAGGCAAACCAAACATCACAAGAACCTGGCAGACAAAATGACCCAAGGCTGTTACAGAAGCTACAGAAAGTGTCCCTTGTAGAATTATTCCCAAAAGACAACATTACTTCAAACACCCGTTGGGCTGTTAGAAGTGACACTGTTTGAAACCACCTTGGAAAGGAAGCAGCAGTGCATCCCAGGCCTTGAAGGAGTGTGTAAGGGCTCATGCATATGAAATATCAACAAGGTGATGCTGTGGTGAGCTCAGAGGTGTGGAGGAGGAGCCAGAGACGACATCCACCAGGGGTTATCAGAGCATTTCCTGCAGTTCTGTAGGAGAACAGAGGTCGAGGCACAGGTAAATGAGCCTGGCGGGCTGGCAATTAAGGCAACAAACCAAGCAGGAGCCAGGGAAAGGTGCAGAGAGGGAGGCAAAGCTCTGCAGGCAAGCCCACTGAGGGAAATAGAAGTGATGAGCAAAACAGGAGACAATGTCTTTCAGAAAGGGGGAAAAAAAAGGTCCTACTACAGCAATTTTCTCAGGCACCAGGTGCTGCTCTATCTGCAGTTCCACCTAGACACATCTCTGAGGCAACTGGATGGTTTGGCTCATGTCCCTTCTTTCCTATGACTCCCACAGGTTTTGAACCCTACCGTTATAGACTTTCAGGTTGAAAAATTCCAGTGGTTAAGTTTGAAATCTGTAGTCATTAGAATAATGGGAGATCCCTAGAGAGAGCCAACACTGCTATGCAGAAAATTTATTAGCAGCAGGAACAGAGGCCTGTATCAGCACTTTACTGGTGGATAAATCAGTGGGTTTGCTAATGATGTTTCGGTTCTCTTGATTGAATTGGATTTGTAAGAGAAATGCAGCTGCAGACTGAATTGCTTTATATGACAAGAGAATAATGAATAGCCAATCCTGAACACCCAGGGTTTCTGTATATATGGGATAATTTAGCTTCCGTTCTTGTTATTATTTTATATGCAAATGAAATTATCAATGCCTTTATATAATAACTTCCTGGATCACATTTATTCTAGAGCTTTTGCCTGTTTGTGTGCAAGAGAAATTTCTTTCCCTCATTTCACCCAGGGTTTAATACTAAATCCAGCTCCTGCTGGAGCCTGGGGGAGTTTTATTGTGTTATAGATATGACCCATCCCGAGGGCATTGAAAGTGAACAGAAAATATTGAAACTGCCTGTGGTTATGAGGGTGCTATTATTTATTTGGAGATAGGGCCCATTACCTTATGCTATTATCTGCAAGTTACATGTACTGGGTTTTGCATATTTGATGTTTACTTAACATGCACATCAGGTTCTTTTAACAATAGTGTTTCAGAGATGGTCTGGCTGAGTGCCCTCATCAGCCTCTTGCTAGGTTGTTCTCTGGGGTTCCAGCCAGTCAGTCTTTATGTGTTTGAAGCTCTAAATAGGCTGCTGCTCCCACTCTGAAGGATCACGCCAAACTGAACCAATGCCTGCTGGAAAAGGAAAAAACGGGATGCCAGCTGGCCAAGAGGGCTGAAAAGAGAGAAAAAAGAGATAAAATCATTCTTACACTGAGAAACTGCCTTAGCAACGTCCTCATCTGCTGGGTGGTAATAGATCACAGTTGCCTGGTTGGTCTTCCAAATGGCTGAGCTCCCAAGTTACAGTTACTCCTTGCCCTTGGAGGTGCAGTTGACTGAGATGTACTGTTGAGACACATAAATTTAACAGATGGATTGTGCAGGCCAGGCACTGTATCCAGCAATTGTTTCTCTCACTAGGGGAAAGTCTTACAAAAGCCTTTCCCTGGTGTTCAACAGGATCGTGGTGGTTCATTGCACTGCAACTTTAGAAAGGTTTTGGGTGATTGGCTGCAGTGGAGAGAAACAAACTGGCGGTGACACAATTCCCACCATTTGCACAACAGTGAGGAGATTTTCTTTTAAGTAGGAAAACAGGAGAGAAAATTCTTCCCTTACCCACTGACAGGCCAGGGGCAATGCTGTGGAAAGGGTCTTGCTACTTTCTGCTTTCAGCATTTATAGGGCCAGAGGCATTGATCAGAAAATCTGGTCATCTCCATTAGTCCTTCTCTCATGTGCTCTGCCAGCAACTGAGTGTCCAGGCAACAGGTTTTGCCCTCCTTGTGCGAGGCAGACAGGAGTGCAGGGGCTGAGAGAGCATCATCAGCCTGCAGAACAGTGTGTGCTGGGGTGGAGAGACACAGTCAGGAAGGAGTCTTTGTGAAAAAGAACATGAGGGAGCAAGAAGAGAGGTGTGCTGAAAAGAACTGAAGAAATGAGAAGCCCAGGAAACTGCTCAGCTGGATTCTTGGAGATATTAAGTGTCATGGATGTGGCCAGAAAAATGCATCACAGTGCACACTCATTTAATTCCAGGTAGCTTCATGGGGGTGGCAGTGGTGGGAGAGGCAGTGTAGGTGTTTTTCCTACATTCAGTATATATTCAGATGTTATTTCAGGCCTTGGAAGTGCAGCTGCTAAGCCACTCAACATTTTAAAGGTTGCTCAGCTAAGAATTATATTAGAAAACACCTCAGATTTTAATACTGGAAACCAGGAAATCAAAATAACTTTGGAAAATCAAGAAACACAACACAGTTTTTGGACATATTTTCTTTACAATTATTATTCTTTACAATAATTTTGGGCACCCTACTAGAATGAAAAAAATCTGCATTGTACTTGAAAATCTGCTGAATGTTTTTAGCATTTTAAGGGTTTTACATAAATTCTGACTTCAAAAGCCTGTCATGAAGGAAGTTTAACTAACAAAACAAAATTGTTTAATGACTGGCTTTTAGTGAGGTATTTAAAAATTTCCAACAATATAAGCAGTTGGTATGTTTTATTCCAGTAGGACATCCTATCTTCTTTGATTGAGGTGAACAATTCTGTCATGCTGATGGGACTATTGCACTGCAGGCTGTGCATGGAATGACAGTTTCAAAAAGTAACACAAATCACCAGTGCTGCTAATTATTATCACTGTATTTACCACAAAAATCTTTAGTTCTAACCGTGCCAGTGAAACCTGAAAATGCAAGTAACACAGCTAGGCTAAAAGAGCTATTGAAGGGAAGAGACAGCAAGGCAGCTCTTTTTCTGCTTTTAAACAAGATTTAACTGCTGTTGACAGAGGAAGTACAGGACATCTTTCTAAAGCAGGTCTGCATAGGAAAACACTCACAAAGGGCAAATAACTAATCTTGTTAACAAGTTCTCTATAAATTACTTTCCACTCTGGAGATACATTTATGCTCTCACACTGGAGCTGTAGGTGACCTGAAGAGGGATCTGCTCAACACAAAAAACAAAGGAGGAAAAATTTTGTCTGCCATTTTCTCTATTTTCTGCGGTGATACAGAAGAGCAGTTCTGGAGTAAGGATTTTCTATAGCACAGCTGTTCTTTCTGATGTGTCCCTGAAAGAATTCACCATCTGGCACTGATGATATCACAGCCTGTTGCTATGGGACCATCATGTCATCACACATATCCCACACTCAGCATCCTTTCAGAGCAAAACAGTACAGCTGGCACATCTGAGTCCAGCAGGCACCAGAAAAAGGTGACAAGGACCACAGGGCCAGAATATAATGATAAAAACAGCTGGTAAGAGCATGCTCAGTTATGAGGCTTCTCTGAGGAGGAAGGACTTCCAGTGTGCCCCTAACACCCAGGGCAGTGACATTAAAACAGGACAGCAAAACAGCTGCGGCACTGCTGACACAACTCTGTTGCAGAGCAATATCAATGAAAATGTCATGCTTTGCTCAACAAATATTTTCTTGTCTCTACTGCAGTGTGGTCTGGCATTACTGGAAATCCTAAATTCATCAACATATATAGAGAAAAACTGATAAAAAGTAGTGAATATTACTACCTTCCCATTACACAGTCTATTATTCATTTGACTGCTATTGGTTTAAAATGCATTTCAGATTTATATTCTGCAGTCACGTAAGAATTATTCTGTTTGGAGAAACTGACATAACTTGTGTTTCAAGTGCATGGCAGCAGAACTGGCTGAGGTTTTATCTCAACCTCACCACTTTTCAGCAAAGGACAGCAGAAGGGGAGCCTTCAGCTATTACTCAGCCACTTCATGGAATATGCTACAGACCAGAAGCATGGCCTTTGATGAGTTATTGTTTAAGTAAAAACATACTTCAAACATTTATTTCTGTGAAGTCCCTGCCTTCAGTCCACATAGAAGATATTACAGGATCTTAATTCTAAAAAAAGCCTAATATACATAATCTGTAACTACATTTCCATTTTTTGCAACTCTCTGACAAGGACAACTTAAATTTCCTGGTATTTTATTACACTTTGCAAGTGAGAAGCAGGCCTTGCAGCCTTAACAAGCAGATGTGGAGGTGACAGGAAATGGAATTTCCTAATTAGTTTCTGAAATGTATGAGATGATGTTATTGCTGGAGGTAGCAGAAACCAGACATGATGACTGAGATCTTTTCCTGTTCAATGCAAAGGATGGGAGTAACACAGCTATATGAGTATCAAAATTGCAGAAATACAATGCAGAGACTTTTTCATGCTGGCTGCTTGTACAAGCCTAGACCAAAAGAGTTTACTGAATCTCAGGCTAAATAACAAGTAAATGGGATTACATTAAACAGCTTAGCACTAGGTGTCTTCCAACTTGACTCCTTTTGACCTCAATAACAGTAAACTTTGGTGGAGCTGAATCATCTAACAGGAGGGGCTGCTCTAACTAGAAAATGCATGAGATAGCTGAAAGCTGAACCTCAGGACTGGTGTTTCAATCTTCATCTTCAGTAGAAGCATGTGGAAAGATTCTAAACATCCCTATAAACAGATCAGAAATCTGTTATCCTCCAGTGCCAACACCTGATGGCAACTGTGTAGGGGACATGAAAAAAACACTCTTTTTTTTAGCCCTCCCCAGCTATCAGTAAGGTCCAGATTACAGACATCCAAAGACAGTGGTGTAATTTATTTTTAACAGCTCTTCATAGATTTTTGCCTCACTTTTTATTGACTCAAGAAATTGTTGCTTTTATTTAAAACAAACTCTTACAGTTAAGGAGTACCACTTGTAACTCTATTTAGAAGAAATCCCCACCAATTCTTTCCTCTTTTCTCATTCCTTCCTCCCCACAAATTATGTCTTTGGGATGGCTGAAAACAACAGGTATGGGGATAGCAGTTATGTGTATTTTGGTTTTTCAAAAGGCGTTGCAGGCAAAACATCTCAATGTAGTTTAGGGAAGCAGCAGTGGTATTGGCACCATTAGGCTGAAAAGTATTTTCTTTTCAAAAACTATGTATGTTTGCATTTATTCTGTTTGCTTGCCTTCTTAGAAGAAAAGAATTAATGACTGAAGGGGAAAAAATTTGTTCTGTGACTGTGTAATGAAATCCATGCTCAGAGAATCTCCATTACTCCCTGCAAGCTCAAGAGAAGCATGTCTTTCTCCACTTTTGGCCAAGCAAGACAGAGCATTCCTGACCTGTCAATATTAGCAGTTGAGGCTGATGCCTGTACAACCAATTCCAAAGAATGGACTGAGTCTAAGCAACTCCTCTTCCATGACAGCCAGGTCTCCAACACAACACCCAAATGGCAATGTCATGGTCTGTCACCCACCCACCCTGAGCTCCTCTGCACTGTCACTGTGTGCCAGCTCAGCAATTCCAGTTATGTGAGAATCCAGGAAGAGGTGTGAAGCCTTGAACACCCTGAGGCTATAACCACCCTTCAGAAGCTGCTGAGACTCCCTTACAGGCTGCTATCCTACCTAAAATACAGCCCATTAGAATTAGTGTCCTTTGGACTATCCATGCAGGAACACAGGAGACAACAGGTTAGCCAGGGTGGACAGCTGATTGATTAGCACACAAACATGAAAAAAGATTTTTGTCACAGCATGAATGTATTGTTTATCAAATAATACATTTTCCAGGAGGTTACACTTTTAAGAAACCAGAAGGAAAACAGAGTTGGGATGTTTCATTTTGACAGACTATATTTCACATTTTGGGCAATAATCTTGGCCCCTCTCTAATTCTTTCAGCAAAAATGTTCAGCCCAGCATGCCAAAAATCACACTTAAAACTCAAAATTCAAGCAGCTGAATCTATGTCTTGCTTTTCTCAATTTCTACATCAAGAGCTAGACTGCGATTAGTGCAACAAGAGATGAAGACACCGATATTTACAGCATATTTCACATAATGAATGAGAAGCTTTTACTAAGAGAAAGACACAAATGACCAAATCTCTATGTGTTACACATGTGATGCTTATCCTTCATAAAGGCTGTTAGAGAAATTTAAGTTGCTTTTTATTAACACTTTTTCCAAGTGTGAGATGTTTGCAGCCAACTATTAATGAGACCCCTGTCGAAAAGGATGAATACCTACCTGTAATGTTGATTGAGAAAATGATGCTCATCAAAAGGGCTGAATCTCTTCTCTGTACACACAGGCACAGTGAGCTGTCAGCTGCTGTATGGGGAAAAAATTCTAAAAGAACAAGAGCCCTTGACAACGTCACCATAAAAGTAAGCAGTTTTTCTTTCAGTAGGAAACAGGTCATTGCTTCATTTCTATGTTACATTTATATTACACCAATTCTGAAAGGAGTTTTTTGCTCATTCCTTTTAAGAATGCTCTTAAGTAGAAAAGACCTATTACATTTTTCTCCTATCTTCAAAGCACCTACAACCAATCACAAACTCTTCTCCTGAAAATAAGGCTGTTTTGTTTGTAACAAATGAGGAAACCAGTTTTTGAAATGAAGACTGACTGGATGACAGTTTTTGACTTCAGGGTGTAATAATCCTTGTACTGGAGCTGGGAAAAGCTCATGAGAAACAGCACCACCAGCAAGTGAAGAATTCCCTTTGGGCAGGACTACACCAACAGCTGGCATAACTGAAAGCAAAGGTGCAACCTTCTGGAGAAGGAGGAATCAAGGAACCACAGCTGCATTCTAGTCAAGGAACAGTGTGTCTTTGGGCAAAAAAGGTGCACATGTTCCATGACTGAGGACTGCAGCAGAATACATGTGTGCAAGAAAGGTGAATGTTACAGACGACTCAAGTGCCATTTTTGAGTTGTTGCTGCATTTCCTCCATGATCACATGCTTTTATGTGAGGTGTTTATCAGAAAGGTAAAATGACATGGAAGATAGAGTAAAAGAACTGCAACACAGAATTTTCAAGTTCTGCTGAATTTCCAGCAAAATGGGACATCTAGGGGTACTTGGCCAGATGTCCCCTTTTGCTGGCCTATCCCCTGAAATGAGATTATTTGGCAGCAACTTTTAAATCTGCCGAAGGGTATTTCAGGAGTTGGTAGATAGCTCCTAAGGAATAATTCATCCAGTTCTCTCTCCTTCTAACCTCATAGCATTTTTAAGCATATTAAACCCTCTTAAAAATACTTAAAAGAATCAAAGGCAAGGTAATTTCCTTTACATATTTCTTTTTATAGATTTATTTTACATTTTATGTGAAGTAGGAAAGGAATTCAATGTTTGTCTTATATGAGGTCTCCACAAATACTTTTTGAGACCAGAATTTCTGCTTCTGCTAGCAGAACCAGTTGGATAAAGAATCAACCACAGCAAGAACTGGAACTTGTATTGAAAAGAACAGCCCAGTCCTACTTCACCCATTCTTCCTTTTTTTTCTGAACTGAACTGCACAGGGTAAACACCATCACCACACTGGAAGCATTTCAAATAGGAACAGAGAAATTTATGCATGTTAATCTGTGACAGGGTTTTCCCCCAGTGGATACAGCAACCCTCCCATTCATTTTGCACCACACCATGCATGTGTGGTATTGCCTGACATTGCTGTGAAAGTCCTGTCAACACTCCTCGTGCTTCTCCATATGTTAAAACCACTCCTGCTCTAAGTTCAATCTTCCTTAAACAATACAGCAGCTAAAAGAAAGCTTTACTATCTAAGAACTGAAGTGTTTTAAGTACGGAAGTTTGTTTATATAAAAAAATAATTTACAAGGTGTTAAGAAGAAAATTTATTTGGTCAAAGGAAGGAAACCCAAACAAAACACTGAATTTTTGACAAAATCCACCAAAAACAAGAGTGACAACAAATGCAGAACTGTTAATAATCCTTTTTTCTCTCCTGTCTCACTGAAGTTTTTCAGATTAATCACACCAGAAGTAAGTCTTGGAAACTGGAGGCTTTTTCATTTCAGTGTTCAGTTTAACTTCATCTGTGAAAGATGTGGAACCTACATGGAAATTCTGCTTTGAAAAAACAGTAACTACTACTGAAAGCAAAGACATTCCAAACTGCACTGCAGACTTGTTTTGCTGCAGCTGGCTGCTGCAGAGGGCACAGCAACTGCTGAGTGCATTACAAACTACACATGCTACAGAGAAACTCTGGACACTCAGTCAGCATGAAGTGAAGTTAATATTTTACTTGTAACCTTCTTCTGTTGCCAGGAAGGCAGATGAGTGTGTCACTATGAAACCAGCAGACGATTCCTTTGCCCTGGCATGGAAATGCAACAATGTCACAAACTACTGCCCTTCAATCCACAACGATATTTATCAGCAGAGAGTCCTTTTAAGCATTCAGGGCACCATTTTCTAAGGAGCCACAGGTTTTGAGGGGCCAGTTCAGCCTCATTTACACAAACCACCAGTGTGCCTCACTCTGTGGGGCAAACATAACAGGTCCAAAGTAAAGAGTGACAGAAGCAGAACCAAAACAGCTAGTGCAGATGGATGAGCACACACAGAGGCACATCTCTATGCAGATGGATGAAAATAGAATCTACTTGCTTCTGTTTAAATTTTGTGCACGTCCTATGCACTTGGCCAGTTGGAATCTGCACCTAAAACAGACATACAGCCCACAGGGCTACCTGGCTTCCACAGCTCCGTAAACATTGGTCAGATATAGTCTATCACTCTAATAAGCCTTCTTAAAGCTTCAAGCAAAAATCACTGTAGGCACTGGCTCCAATAGCACTGTGTCCTCTTAAGTTTCTCTTCTGCTAAACACATCTCTAACAGACAGGATCACATCAGGCCTCTGCCCGATCCTCCCACCCCTTCATTAAAACACTTTTCTGTATAATGTTGCTTTAGAGTCAAATTCCTGCCAGACAAGTATCAGCCTGGAAGAAAAACTTCCTGCTTTATTATAAACCTTTGAAAAAGAATTCCAATGTCTGGGCTATGGTAATTTGGTAAGTTGTATCTTGGCCAGTGGGCTCCTGATTCTCAAAAAAATCCAAGATTAGCAGACATAACACTTCAAGCTATGCTGTGTGAAACAAGATCCTAATACTACTATGTTCAATAAGACTAGAAAATGGGATCACTCAAATTCCTAAACAGGAAGAGCAGACAATTTGTAAAGTCTTTCTCTTCTCTGCATTAAGTTTTCCCAGTTCACTGGGTATGGACATTATTATGTTTCTTGCATGTGTGGTCAAGGCAAGTGGGTATCAAATGATTGAATTTTAGACACGTTTGATATTCCTGTCCCTCCTATTACTACTTGACAATTGTATGTGCGTTGAATGTGAACATCACTGACAGACACTGTAAAAGAAAAAAAGGCCAAAGAAATACATCCTGTCCTTGCCAGACTCTCCCTCAAAGTCCAAAACCAAACTTGCAGTTTGTTCTTTCAGCAGCCCAGCCTGAGGCACCTGACCCTGTAGCACTGGCGTGATTTATCTCTTACTTATTTCTGGTGTGATTAATCTGCCACGTCAGAGGACAGTGCAGGTACTCACAGCTTAAGGGGAATAATGGGCCAGTATTTGGGCTGCTTTTTGTCACAGTTCCTATCAAAGATGAGCTGCATGGCAGCCTCCATTGCCTGGATTTTGGCAGCTTCAGCCCCATACAGCTTCTTCATTTCTGCCATGCGCCTCTCCCCAGGCCGTTCTGTGGGCGGCTCCACTGACCGCTCCACTCTCCAGTGCAGGTCCTGATCAGCCTCCACGTAGGGGTCCTCAGCTTCCAGCTGCTGCTGCCTCCCTGGACAAATAAACCATAAGAGATGTAAATTACTGGGCTGTCAAACAATCGTGTTTTGTTTTAACTTTAAAAATATTATATATTCATATTTTAGCTGGGTCTAAAAGGAAAAAATCCACATGTTCTAGGCTGCAGCTGCACTCATTTTCCATAAAGAAATTCCTACTGATGATAAAGCCAGGCTGGAATAAATGGGGAGAAATGAAGAAGATCCTGGAACTGAATCCTAAATGTGTAGGAAACCTCTGTATTAGTACTACTAAGCAAAAATCAACATTGCTCAATTTCTCCCCAAAACACACATGGCCCTGAAAAAAACTCAAACAACAAAACAACAAAAACCCAAAATACAACCCCCCTCTCTCTCCCAAGAAAACTGAAACAACCCAACCAAAAATCCCAAACCACTCCCCATACCAAAAAATCAAACAAAAAGCAGAGTTGTTTCCAAAATAATGACTTAGCAGCTGAGAAAGGAAACAATGCACAGGACAATGCAACTTTAGCTGAATGATAGCCAAGGGAAAATGTAATCAGTTACTACTCCGTGAAAATGAACAAATGGGTCTGTCATGTCAGCTATTAAGTGCATTCAATGAAACACAGCTGTAAGCATCGTGCTTAGATTAACTGTCCAAACTCAGCCATTTCTCAAGACTTGCAAAGTTCAAAGCTGGCAGCCTTACTCTATTGCTTTGAAAACAAACAAAACACCACCAACATAAAGCATGCACCATGTCTTTTAGAGAGGATTTAAAACAATTCAAGAGGTGAAACATTTGGACCAATCTGTCAACAAAAATGCTGTGGTAAGCCTGACTGGAAGCAAGAACTTGGTTGTGGCATGTCCAAATTTACTTCTGCTTCCTGGGTACTGCTCTGATGAAAGAAACAATGCTTTGTGCAGTTAAAACATCAGAGTGCTCCACAAAACTCCCCTCTTATGGGGGCATTTCTACAAGAGAGAGAAAATCACCCAGCAGCTGAACTCCTCAATAACAAATGAGTATCCTCAAAACCGTGTAACAGGCACAATTTGCTACTAATGACAGCAGCAGGGTTTTTTTTGAACATCAAAAAGGAGAGAGTGTCCACAGGTCAGGATGCATTGGTCACACACAAGACATGCTTCTCTCAGCGTATGGTGCCATGTACTTCTTCTCTCTTTCACCCTAACACAGAGATTTAGCTTCCACAACACACATGGCATCTGCAAACTCTAACTCAAAGTTAAATATCCTGACATTTGTGTGTCAAACATCTGCAGTTTATTTTTATACTGGAAAGTACTGTACCAAGCAGCCAAGTGACTGTCAGCCTTCCTAAAGGAATTATCCCCTGAACACCATTCACAGACAACAGATATTTTAAACAATACGATCAGAAACTTCAATTTTGGGATCTGTTTGTGCTACAGACACAGAAAGCTTTTGTCCTGTCATGTGAAACACTATTTGTATTGGTCATAGAAGGGCTTGAGGAGTTATTAGCCATCTATTACAGAAAGCCATTTCTGTGATTTTGCTTCAAGGGCACACCCCTGCATTAGGCTGCACTGCCAGAATTCACAAGGAAATATACATTAGAGTCCATATGTGTTTTTGGAAGAGTCAGATTTATTTGGTGTTGGGCCATTTTAACCAGAAGGTCTGAATTAAAGACTCTACCATTGTCTACAGAGAGCTCAGCACAGTATAGCACCCAGGCTACACCCTGCACCCCACTGAAACCAAGCTCCTGGGACATCACGCTGCCCACAACTGCACAGCATGCTTTTAAGCACAAACTTCATGCACATTACATTGAATAATTTTAGACTGATAAAACCAAACAAGACTATACTGGCAAACCAATGTTTCTCACTGTAGATTACACAGCCAACTGGTAAGGCAATGAATTGGACCCATATTTGTTAACTCTCTTGGGACACTAGATAGTTCCTTGTACTTCTGTATTGCCCGGGGAAATTTTTAATTCTTCAGTTTCATAAGTGTATGCTAGAGACAGCTGCTTCCTCACTTGTTTGCTGTAGAATGCTGTCTGACAGCTCACTGCACACGCTGATCCTTAAGAAAAAAATTTCTCTGGAGATAGATAATGAATTCTTCTGTTTGGAAATTAAATGGATCTCTAGCAGAAGCTTCATGATGGATGAGTGGATTACAGTTTAGTGTGCATCAATCTCCATTTCTCAACACAGAGTAGTTCATAAATCTGTAGATCCTAATTGTAACAATCAAAATAATAATACCAATTTAAATTCCATTCTCAGAATTACCTGATGTATGTCTAGAGTGTTTTACTTTACACTAATCAGATATAGTGCCTGTAACTTTCTAGCTTTATTTCTGCTGTTCCATAGCTACTGGTTCAAAAAGTCCCAGAGTGATTGTATTACAGAGTTTTAGACACATAAATCAGGTCTAGAATCCAGGCAGAGGCTCAGGACAGAAATGTGCTATAAGGACCCACATTTTTTTGCACCAAAGGCTGGATTTGAGCACAGAACACGACAGCTGTTGCTGGTAATACCACTGCAGCTGCGGGGAATACACTGCAGTTTCAAATCAGTTATCTGTGCAGAGATACCACTGGAACAAACTCCAGTCATAGACAGAATCACAGAATGGCTTGGGCTACAATGGACCTTAAAAATCATCTGATTCCAACCCTCCTGCCACAGGAAGGGACAGTGTCCCCCAGATCAAGCTGCTTAGAGCCCCATCCAGTCTGGCCCTGAGCACTGCCAGAGATGGGACAACCACAGCTTCTCTGGGCAACCTGTTCCAGTGTTTCACCACCCTCACAGTAGGCAGCATTATTTCCTTTTATAGACTATCAAGGAATGAAGTCATGAAACTAAATGGGCATGTAAACTACTGCTTTTCCAAAAACAATATTTCCAAAAATAGACATAAGGAATAGATAACAGAGAAAGTATTGTCCTGTTGAGATGCACACTAAACTTTCTTTGGTGGACAAGGGCTGGGAAGTTGAAGTGCTGTAATTTCCAGCAGTCTGGATTCTATCCATTACCTCAAAGTTTAGTTTAAAAACAATACAAAGCAGTACAACTTGAGCTAAATGTGCAACTACCTCTTCATCAAAAAGCTGACAACTAGAATCTGACAATGGAAATACAAACAAAATTATAAGCTGTCTATAACCACAAGCCTATGGAGACAACCAGAATTTCTCTGAAGCAAGAAACACATACTCATCCATGAAGCAGATAGCATGGTTATCAAAATATTAATTCCCAGCCTGCAGCAACAAAGTCCCCAGCTCACTCTCAGATCAGTTTCACATTCCAAATTCTCAAGTCATTGGGCTGCCAAGTTATAAATGTAAAACAAGTAATTTTTACACAATTCTAAGTAGTTCCTCCTTCTACTTCACACAGACTAAAATAAACATGCTTTCTTTTACAGCATTCATCTTCAACTACTGGCAAGCTTCCCCCAATCAAGGAACAGTATTTTGCAAACGTTGACAAGGCAGGCAGCTGCAGTGGTGGATGGTTCCTGCACAAAGGAAAAGCATTGCTGACGTTTTCCCAGTTGGCCAGTTCCCTTTCTTTTCTAAGATGCTCTTTCTGTCTCTTGAAGCTCTCTCCAAAATTAACTTATTCCTACCAAGTTCAGCTCTGCTGGGAAGTCATCATTAACTGGCCAAAACCAGTGGGGGCATCTTTTCCCAAACACAGTAAATAGAACTCTTTAACCACAAAGCAACAAGGTCCAGCTCTGTCATGCACCCAGTGTCCTGAGTTACCCAAAAGGTTATTGTAGTCCATATCTATCTGTGCCCAGAATGGGAAGTGTGTCTTCAAGACACTAGATCTGGAAATGGAACCTTGGGGCCAGCAGGTTCTGGCCATTTTGAAGTCAGGGTTGTGAGGCAGAGCTCTCTCTTGCCTGTGGCTCTTGCTCTTTCCTTGCACTCTTGCATGCAGAGAGCTGAGGCAGCACTGGTGGCAGCTCCCCTGTGGTTTTCTTCTGGGGTTTTTTATGAGGCAGGAGGGTGATCAGCCATGCACATGAGAGCAGGGCTCCATCACACAGAACAGTGACTTGGGAAGACAAACACCATCACTCCAAATGTCCCCCCTTTCCTTCCTGTTCCCCCCACTTTATACACTGAGCATGATGTCAGATTGTTACTGGGCTTGCATGGGTCTTTCAGGGGTGAAGAGAGAGGCGAGAATCTTGACCTCATGTTCAGAAGGCTGGATTTATTATTTTATGATATATATTACATTATTACTATGCTAATAGGAATAGAAAGAAAAGGTCAGAAGCTGCTAAGCTAAGAATAGAAAAGGAATGAATAAACAAAGGAGCTCTCTCTGATTCTGTCCCACAGAGAGCTCAGCCTGTGATTGGCCCTTAATTGTACACATGCAACATGGGCCAATCACAGGTGCACCTGTTGCATTTCACAGCAGCAGATAACCATGGTTTACATTCTTTTCCTGGGGCCTCAGCTTCCCAGAAGGAAAAATCCTAAAGAAAGGATTTTTCACAAAAGATGTCTGTGACAGTCAGACGGTCTGGAACATCCCATCCCTTTGGTCAGCTGGGGTCACCTGTCCTGGCTGTGTCTCCTCCAAATCTCCCATTCACCACCAAGGTCCTCACCAGCATGGCAGCAGGAAAAGCAGAAAAGGCCTTGGCTGTGTATAAGCCCTGCCCAGCAATAACAAAAACATTTCTATATTATCAACCCTGTGTTGAATGTAGATTCTGCCCCAAATCAGTCATGTGAAGGAAATAAATTCTACCCCAGCCAAAACCAGCACATCTACCTAACTCATGCTACACTTCTGGGCCATCATTAGTAACTCTAGGCCTTATGAAAGAAAGTTTCAGACTACTGTTTCTCCCTTCACCACTTCTCCCACTTTTTATGAATGACTTTTAATCAGGTGTGTACTAGCTGAAAAGAAAAGTGAACAAATAGAGACAACTACCCCCATGCTCTGGAACTGCCAGAAGAGT